TTTTTTTCAGTTTTGGCCCCTTTAATATTAAAATCTTCCTGTTCCGTGCAGAAAAAAATGAAAACCAGAACACAGCAAAAAAAAAAAAAAAAAAAGAAAGAAAAAGAAAAAAAAAAGAAAAAGAAAAAGAAAAAAAAAGAAAAACACCAATGCTTTCAGCTGGCTGGATTTATTATTTCAGGTTTCTGCTAGATGCATATAAGTGTTTAAATCACATGTTTATCAGCTCTCATTAAATAATACAGCATAACCTCTCAAGACTTGTAAAACCTCTGCTATGGATTTGTTACCTGCACTTGAAAAGCAGAAACTGTGTGTCTTACCTAGTTCTAAATTCCTTCACACTGACACTATGTAAACAGCCATTCTTTGCAATGCAATGCAATGCAGCAGATTTTTTTCTTCAAAAGAAATGTTTAATTTCTATTTAATTTTAAACTATATTTTTTCTTTTTTCTTTTTAATTAATTTTACTTTTGTAAGCTATTTTGTCCATTTTGCAGTCATATGACTTGCTCTTGCAATTTTAGCATTTTTGATACAGCAGGATTTGTCTTTTTGTTTTTGCAGACTATTATGTTAATTAAACCGTTAAATTGTACAGCTAGCTTCTTTTTCCAGTTACTTTGTATGTTACCAAAACGTTAACATTCATGTATTTATAATAAAGCTTCTTCATCAAAGCAATAATGGCCTTATGAATCATTAATATTGTATAAATGTATGTTTATGGTTTTAATTTCACTACAGTTCTTCAGATGTATAGTTTCTGTATCCTTTAGTTTAGATCTGTGCCCTAAATCCCCCTCTTATTTTACTTAGAATAAACTATAGGGACTTGTCCCCCTATAGATATTACTACAGTAAATCCAGAAAATACTTGTTTTTCTCTTTCAGCTTTTCTCAGGAGTAATGTTTTTGTTTAAGTCCCAGTTTTAGGTTGTATCTCTGGTCTAAGCAGGCCTTCTTTTCTCCCCATACAGCTTTCTCACCAGTCTGGGCTGTCAGAACTTCATTGAGTACTTCACTTCCCAAGGCCTCCAGTCTATCTACCATCTCCAAACTCTCTCCATGGAGGTAACCAGTTTGTTCCTGCACATACAATCTACAAGCAGTAGAAATAATAGACATAATAAGAAATGTTACATGTAATTATTAAAACAAATAAAAGAAAGAGAAGAAAAGGTAAAAATGGCAACAACAAAAAAAAACTGCAATAAGAGACACAAAACAGAAAAGTAAAGCAACAAGGTACAAACAAATCCCAGATAATTACTGACCACTAGTGATGATGCAAAGAATTACCTTATTAAGCAGGCTTAATACTTCCTGACTTCCTTTTGCATTTTCAAGCAAACACGTAAAGACACACTCTTATTGCTTTGTGTTTGCTTTTTTGCTACACTCTTGAACTCCTCCAATGTCTGTGTGCCCTCACTAGGATTTGGGTGCGCTAAAGATACCAGAACAGTCCCGCCTCATCATCTGGCGAGGTCTGCAGGACATGAAACAAGGCGCTCCCCTGCAGCTGCCTGCTTCTTCTCATCATCATGACTATCATGGGCAGCAGCTACTTCGCTCCAGCAGCAACATGACTGCCTCCGCAATGGCGGCCATTGGGGCTGCAGGTGGGGAACTGCAACGCCAGCGGGTCATGGAAGCTGTGCACTTTCGCGTCCGCCACACCATCACTATCCCCAACAGGTCCAGCGTTGTTGGGACATCAGGCATGACGGCTGCTGATGAGTGGGCTGACTTTGGTTTTGACATGCCTGACTGCAAGGTGTCACGGAGCAAGCACTCCATCAAGGAGGAATTCATGGAAAGTGACATTCACTGAGACGCAATAAAATCTTGGATCTTCTTTCCCAGAAGTTATTGTCAGCATCAGCTTACTGCAGTGTAACTACGTGACTAGGGTTGTTAAATATGTGTTTAGCTGCTCTTGTCATATTTTGATGATCAACTTTGATCAATTTTGATTCTGAGATATTTTCAGTGTGCTCATGCACTTTCATGTGCAGCCAGAAGTTTGTGCTTGAACTGTTGTTCCATCTAATATTTGAAGATAACATAACAAAGTTTACGTCTTCAGTCTTCAAAGCAAAATGCATTGTAACAATATAATTGTCAAAGCAATGCTGAACACACATGATCTGGACTTTGCTTTTTGGAACGCTGATAAGTGCAAAAGCAATTTTTTTTTTGGTTGCACTGTGCAATAAGTAATAACACATTTTTCTTTTACAGCATATGTGACATTGTTCACAGTAACATAAATGTCAAAAGAGGAAAATTGCCACTGCATTTTGTGTTTAGATGCCAAAAAAAGGTTCTCATCTGACTTATTTTTTTTTTCTTTAAGTTGTCCTTCACTTGTACAAATGTATATACTTTATCATGTAAATGTTTTGGAGTAGATGTTGTTGGAAATAATAGAGTCAACATGATGTATCTGCTGTTTGAACCAAATGACTAGAACTGGGTAACTCGAATCCATAACTATGGGAACACAATTGTGTATTTTCAGTGGGTATGATAACGTGATGACCGTAATGTGGTTCGGTGTGGTGGTATCGTTTATGTGTAAAAAAGAAAAAAAAAGTGCTTTGGTGTTAGTAGTTGTACGCTGACACTTATTGTTAAAATTTAGGTATTGCCTAATACGTTCTAGAAAATATGCCGCTCATTATTTTATAGTAACACACTGCAACACAGATAGGAGACAATCAAACAAACAAAAAAAGCATACTCAGTATTATATCTTAATACCAGGGATTTGATTAGATTTGTGAATGGATATTATGCTATCCCTGTACATCAAGAAAACTAGATAATGAGCAGCATTTTTGTCCTTGTATTTGTATTTTGAAAACCTTGCAGGGCAAGGTACTCATAACTTCATTATAGCTGACTCTGTAGCTAATCTTCATGGCACTTGTTTGTAGGTATTTAATAACATTCCACTTTAATTTCTGGATTGCCATCATGAAGCTGAATGGTTCTCTTATTGTGTTACATTTGCTTGACCTTTACTTGTACCAGGGCGAAGGTTTTTGTCTCCCTTTCTAAGGCCCATTCTTGGAAAGACAATTTTTCGTCGTTTTTCATCTCATTATTACAAATGGTCAGAGAGAGAGCACTTTAATGCGATTAAATCATTTAGGTGTTTCAGTATTAACACCACAGTGTAAATAAAAGAATTTCTCCGTTTCTTGTTCTGTTTTTTTTTTTTTTTTCAAAAGAAAAAAATTGTTTACTGGTGTGTTTTTATTCATGAGCGTTCATTCGTTTCTGCTGTTGTTAAAATCACGAATTAAATTGGTTAAAACGTCTGCCTCTACGGTCTCTTTTTTCAAAGTGACAAGGTTTTCAACCCAGTGGTCGGAAATAGTACTGAATGTTTAAGGAAACAGGCCAACCAGAGGAAACATTCTGATGCTGCGCTGACTTTTTATTATTTGAACCGAGAAATCGGTTCGTTTGTGATCGTTGAGGTCTGAAGAGTCATGGCGAATCGAGGTGGTCGGATTTCTGCTACTCAGCCTGTGGTATCGTCGCGGAAGTACTGACGTGTACACAGCAGTTTACACGAGAAGTGGCTAGTTTAGCTAGCTAGGTAGAGCCGGGTAGTGTCACAGCGGCCGTATCAGGTAAGAAAGAACTGCCACTGACAATTTTCGCTGTAACTGCTAGTACAGCTGAGAGACACAAAGAGGTATTGAATCGAAGAATCAACATTGATTGTGATCGCATCATTCACTGAATATGGAGGTGTTTAGTATAGAATGGTTATATTTTAACTGTGCTAGCTAGCTGTGAAACTGTTGGCAGCGTAGCACCGGAAGTGAGTTGTCAATTTTGTGAAGTCCTTGCTGGGTGTTGTAGTTTAAATGTGAACACAAACCAATTCTTGCAACCTAGGAGTAGTCAATAATAAACTACAAATTATTTTTTTTACATACTTTTACATGTGCCCAATTGGAGTTGTGGGAAATGTAGTCTAATACTTTCATTCTAACGGCTGAAGGGGGTCAAATGAAGCTGAACAAAACTACATCACCCATACAAACGTTAACTGGGGCCAAAGGTAGTGTACGTTTCGACGGCTAGGACCGCTTTCGGGGCTAATTTCTAAGCTAACGCGAAGAATTTAAAATAATATAAGATAAAATAATACCTCTAGTACAACTTATTCAAGTTGTAGTGCACATCGTAGTTATTTTCCAATTTGCAAATGTGGCTATTTTGGTAGATATTGCTTCCTAGATGTTATCCTGCCTTCCTTAAGCTGTGAGCTAGTTATGCAGCTAATGCTAACCAGGCACAACCACAGCTCGTCACGGTCCTGTTCTTTTCCCCATTAAAATAAAAATAGCAAATCATTAAATGTCCTAACGCGTAATGCGTAGTTATCTAAGCAATCAACCTAGGCTACAGTGGATATAAATGTTGTTTTGGTGAGCAACCGACAAGCGCACCGAGAATATTTATGATCAGCTAATCAATTAAAATTCTATTAAAGGACCTAGGGCTAGATTTAATTTACAGAGATAAATATTTAAATTGTTTATTTAAAGAAAATTACAAAGATTTTGTCACCTTGACTATTTGCGCCTTGATAGTTATCTGATCACTCTGATTAACCCCTCTTCTGGACATATGTACCTCGCAGATACAGGTCTTTCCGGACAGCCTATGTCTATTGTATTTACTTGTATCACAGTTTACAGAGTATATATTACACAAACTGAAACGAAACGTGTGTTCCAAAATGTGCAGTTCTTGGTAAAATCGTTCACAAATTTTCGTTTTACTGGGTATTTATTTCCAAATCCTTTAAGACAAAATGGGCACAGAAGAGTTTGTCATTTGTCAATTTATCACCTCCATTTTGTATCTTCAACTGGGGCCGTTGGTAGACATTGTCGTGCTGAATAAGAGTATTGTGCAGTACTCTTATTAAAGTAGATTAAGTTCATATGCCACTAATCAAAATCTTTTTGTTGTCCCAATAAGAATGTCAGAAGGGGATAGTGCTGGGGAGTCAATCCATGGGAAAACTTCTGTTGTGGCTGCCTTTTTCACACGAGTTGGACAGGTAATGTGTGAGATCAAGCATATCATATTCTTTTAAATAGGTTTAAATTTAGGGATACACCGATTGTGAAAATTCTGTCTTTTTGAACCAAGTCATTAAACAAAGACTTACCATTTTAAACATTAGCATTCATTGAGCCAAATCTCAGTAGAGAAATTTTTAAAACTGACTTGCAAATATAAGTACGTCAGAACTGATGTTCACAACAGATAAATATGAACTTCATGTTTTTCAGCACCTCTGCAATGTTTTTTCTGGTTTCTTTTTGTCACAGGTCTATCAGTCATGGCTAGACAAGTCAACACCATTCTATGCAATGCGATGGGCAGGAACTCTACTACTTACTCTTGTCTACATGATCAGAGTGTATCTACTACAGGTAATTGTGTATTTCTGTGTGTTTTTCAGATTTATTTGCAATTAGTCAGCCAAGTTAAAAATGTTAATGAGGAATTCTAAATACTTAAATTTTTTGCTTGGCCTATAATAAATACTATCTTTATCAAGTTTAAAATGCCAACTCTTTATAAAGAGGGTTTGAAATCCTCATTCACCTCTAGTAGTTTTTAACCAATTGTATCTTACTTTCAGATCAAGGTTATTTCATTTTGCTATTACCGGTATTCATTAAAAGTAAAATAATGCATTTTATAGTAAATCTCTCTGCTTTTATTGTCTTGTTTTGACTGGGATATTGCTCTATTCGTTAGGTGTTTATATCATAAAGTTCTTATATGTCTTGACTGATGTGTCTTGACTGACTCTAGCAAAGATGTCCTTTAATAAGGTTATTTTCTGATGCTCCTTTTCAGGGTTGGTATATAGTAACATATGCTTTGGGAATCTACCATCTCAACCTGTTCATTGCTTTTCTGTCGCCAAAAGTGGATCCCTCACTGCTTGAAGAAGGTTAGTCAACTCTGTCTCATTAAAGTAGTGTTTGTGATGTGAACATGGAAGTAGGCTACCTCATGGAGTATTACATAACTGTTCATTTAGACCTTAGTACTTGCACCTAATCAAAAGTCTAAGCCAGCAATTGCCCAATCTGTTTTGTTTTTTTTCTGAGAATTTTCTAATATAACTTTCAATTTATTATGAAAGATTTTAAAATAGTTACTGGAACAATAGACTATTACTGTACACTTGCATATTTACATGTACGTATCTCAAAACTGAAATGCTTGAGTCCATATAGATACAGAAAGGGCACCACATCTCAGTAGATAACAAAGTCTCACAAGTAGTTTCTTCCTCTGTGCCATCTATTACTACTACTCTTAGGCACTTTGCAAAATGTTCTCTCATCCGTGCCTTTCTATTGTGTGCCTTCCTTCTGTTTTGTATATATTCCTGTCGTCTGTTATTTATTCTTGCTCTCCTACTATTTATATTTTATACCATGCACAGTTGGCGTGGAGCACCCAAATGTGGTTTTATAGTAGCACTCTGTTTATGAGCAAGTGACCTCCTTGAATGGAATGTGTACAGTAGTGACTGTTCCCAAAAAATATATGAATTAGCCATTTTTACTGTATGTAACTGAAATTGTCCTATTTCTAAAGTGTACGTTGTTGTTGTTGATGTTCTTGTTGCTGTTATGGGATAACTCAACTAGTAACCTATATTATCTACAGATGAGGGCCCATCCCTTCCCACCAAGCAGAACGAGGAGTTCCGCCCTTTCATCAGGAGGTTGCCTGAGTTCAAATTCTGGTGAGAGTTCAACATGGTCACCCAGGGAAATTGCAAATCATTTTCTTTAGAACAACCTGTGTGCTGAAAGATTATATTAAGCAAAGCTCATTTAGAAATGGGTGTAGCATTTTAGGGTGAAAATAAACACACAGAGTTTAATTCATTTTTGTATATTTTGATTTGACCTCATTGTCTCAAATTAATTTCTACTTCATTGACATAAAGGTTGTGTCTGTAACCCTGACTTCCAAAAATAGTTTAAATACAAACATTTTCTTCAGATTTTTAAAACCACAACTTAATTTATTTTCACAGCAGCAATAAATTTTACTCACCACCTGCTGGTAGCTTAACTTAGCATCGATTTCTGCCATTCTGTGCTGTACCAATTTCAAATTATGTGTTAGGCCTTGAATCTTATTTGCATTTACAAATACTGTGTTCTCTTATATACTAAAGAAGAAAGAGGGGAAAGCACACATTTGCTTGATATCTTTTTTTTTTATATATCAGATATGTACCTGTTGCGTGAAAATATCATCTTTGTTCCCTTTGCATGTTTATCTGCTTGATTAAAAACAATTTGACTTTCAATGTAACATGCTTACCCATGTTAAGTGGATATTGGGATATAACAATTACAGGATTAAATTATTTGTTCATTTGTTGTTTGGAGGGTTGCTGACTAAACTAGAGATTTTAAGTCTTATATTTTATTACGTCTTGCTAAGAACATCTTTCTGATTTCTACTCAAATTTGTGTCAGACTACACTTTGTTGCATTTTCCACTACCTTCTCTTTGTTAATCTCCAACCGTACCTAGTGATTTAGTACTGTGTAAAAGATTTAGGCAGAAAACAAACAAATACATCAGTACAAATTATCTTAGATACTGTGGAATACAATTAAAGTACATGTAGCTGGTCAGTTCTCAAGAGAGTATTCAGTCTGTGTTGGACCTATTTATTAGAAAGGTCTCACTCTGTTTTACTCTTAAAAGAATCTCAAGCCTGCGGTCTAGTTTCAAATGAAACTTTTTAAAATGCAAAAGCCTAACCACATAAAAGTTTTAGCGCTCTGTCTACTCTATATGTAGACATTCTCTTTCTCTTTATAACTTACATAATCTTGTTCTTCTGTACACGGCTGTACATGGACTCCTTGTTCTTGTTGTTTAAGATAACACTTTGACTCTGACTGTGTGTTTACTTTTCTTTTCAGGCATTCAGCGACAAAAGGCATCGTCATCGCCATGATTTGCACATTTTTTGATGCCTTCAATGTGCCAGTATTCTGGCCTATACTTGTAATGTACTTCATCATGCTCTTTTGCATCACCATGAAGAGGCAGATTAAGGTAAGTACAAACAGACATCTCTTTGCTTAGTACATATTGATCATAGCTGCATTAGATTAACAGTAATAGGGTGCTTTGGGTCTGGAGGAATGTTTTCATCATCCATAGTCCCTATTTGAAACCTTGAGTTAAGTATTCCGACCAGTGACATCATGATGTATTTTGAAACATATTGTGACAATAAGTATGTCTAACTGAGAAGCCAAAGTCACTGGAACTCATTAATTAGAAGGTAATGATGCCTAAAGCACAACTCATTTTTGTCTGTTTAGCATTTATCTTAGAGTATAATTGTATTTAATTTAAAAAAAATCACCTAGTAATAAAGATACTATATCAAGATATGATATCATACTATGTCATAAATCAATTAAGTCATTGTGTTAGAGCCTACATAGCTGGATTTTGTTTGTTTTTTTAATCTCAGAGGAGTGGCCATTGTAAACAATCATTTCACACACCCCAAGGTTACTTGCATTTTTTTTTATATACATACAGCAAGCAAGGACAGGACTATTACAGTTCTTTGAACTCAGTTAACAATATTGAACAATAGTCCTACACCAACTGCTTCCCTGCTGTTGCATAACTAAATCTTACTGTTAGAGTCTTACTGTTAGAATCTTACTGTTCCTGAAGATATGTTGTTCAAGAGTGAGTTGCCCAGTGTCCCTATGACAGTTTGGTCTGAAAGTGCCTACAGTGCAATAAAAACATTGCAGTCCACAAATTGCTTTTGGGTTAGACAGAGCCACAGGTTTAACCTTATATTTTATTGAAGGACCTTTATTGTATGAAAAGGGTGTCATTGTTGTTATCTGCAGTGCAGTTTATATTGTGGTTCTGAATGCGTTGTAAAATATGCTAAGTCACTAAAAGTGTATGCACAAGCCTTAAAGTAAGTGTTGCTAACTCTCCTTTTTACTTCCTTGTCTTTTCTAGCATATGGTCAAGTACAGATACCTACCCTTCACACATGGGAAGAGGACATACAAAGGCAAGGAAGACACAGGGAAAGCTTTTGCTAGTTAAAAAAACTCCCACTCTCCCTTCCTCTTTGTTGCATTTAAAATTTATTGGCCACAGCCATTGGGGAATGATGAGGGTTAGAGATGTATTTTCTTTTTGTCAGTTGAACATAAACATGAAAACATGAAAAATACAAGTTTTGATCCACAGTGTTCTCAGTGTTGGACGAGGATATGAGCAGCATGGATCAAATTAGTCCAAAAATCTAAACTACTCCCTTTGTCTATTGAGGGTTTTTTTCTGTTTGTTTGCTTTTTGGGGGCATTTTTTTGTTTTGTTTTTCAAGGATTGATCTGCAGTTACTCAGTAATAGTTAGGACTAAGTGCTACCTTTTGCCTTTCTAACCCTAAAGAGTAACAGTAAAGTCATCAAAACTGAAAGAAATTTGCAGTAAAATGAGTGATTTTTTTTTTTGTTGTTGTTGTTTTGTTATGCTTTGTTTCCACTGGTTTATTCCAGTACACCCCCTCTCTAAAATTCACTAATTTTTAATTCATGTAATTTCTCATTTACGAAAATATGATGAAGTTGTTAACGTGATATCAGATGGAAATGCAAGAGTCTTCAAATTAAAAATTTTCATCTTTGTGATGAGAATATCCTGCTGCTCTGACTCAAATATCTCTGGCACTTGTCCTTTGTTCTAAATAAAGATACCTGGAAAAATTGGCTGCTTTTTACGTGAATATGCATTCATGAAGGCCCCCCCCCCCCAAAAAAAAAAACAAAACAAAACAAAACTTCCTGTTAATCTATAAAATGAATTACATCCAGCCAGCACAATGTTTAAAAACTTTAATTGTACATTTGATTTGTTAGCTACCCTGTATAATTGTGTAATTCAAGGAGAGTGTCACTAATCCCAGATAACTTAGTTGCCTGTAGTCTGCAGTCATTCTTAAATCACTTATTTCTACTTTTCCGCCTTCGTAGAATTTAACTACTGGGAAACTGGGATGGAAATCATTTTGGGTGTAATTACCCCAGGGAGATAAATTGGGTGACTGAGCAATTAACATGAAATGGCAAGTCAATGAATTTGCTTTACCTCAGATTTTTAGACCGTTAAGTGGGTATTTATTCAAAACATAATGTGTCCTAAAGTTCATAACCAGTATTCCAGATAAATTCATAATGTGGCTTATTTGAGAGCAGTCAATCAAGCAAGTTTATTTCAATGACCCCATCTCTTTGAAATATTTAGCAATCTTTGTTTCAAAGACTGAGGCTCATTTGGAATTTGTAGACTGGCTGTTGTTGTCTTTCACATTCTGTGTAAAATCTTTTAAGAGTTGTGGTAAATGTAGTCATTCCAAGCAAACTGTTGTTCTCTTTCTTTTTCAGAGGAAACATAAGAAAACAGAGATTGAGAGCTTTTATTAAAAGAAATGGATGAAGTGGGTGGCGATCACATACTTTTCTATGAACCAGTTGATTTTTTTTTCCTTTTTTTTTTTTTTCAAAATGCTGCAAATCTGTGATTATTAAACTTTGATCAGCACTGTAGTAAGGGATCAAAAAATTTCCTGTAAAAACTTTGTGTTTCAAAGGGTTGTCTGGGTTTGTGTGTATATAAATATATATATTTTAAAATATAATTTTTTTTTTTTTTAAGATTTTTTTTTTTTTCATCCACCACCATACTGTTTGAGTGTGAAAAACTATTTCAGTTGAAGTTTATGGAAGTAAAACTGCTAAATTGGGTTCCAGATCTGATAAATTAAATGTTTTTCATGGAATTGCATGTTATTTTCTTGTGCTACAGTTACAAACAGAAACTTGATTTTAATAACTTAAGTGTAATTTTTTCACTCCAAATGCTATTAAAGAGGCTGTGTCCCTTTGAACAGTGCATTTGAATCTTGGCTTCATATTTTATAAGTATTCATGGAAAAGGGTAGCCTTGCAACTAAAGACAGTTGGAGAGGTCCAGTGCATTTCTGTTTGTCGTAATCAAAATGTATTTTTGTACAGCTCTTTCTTTGTAATTTTTTTCTTTTTTAAGTTAATGGCACATATGACTGGAATCTGAATATATTTGGTCACCTCTATAAAATAAGGAAATTCATTGTTATCTTTTGAGTTGTGTCCAGCATTATCAGATTAATGAGACAAAGTTGCAATTTAGCTGCTGATCTTTGCATACTGATTTGTGAATCCTTCAATGATAGATATTCCTCAGAGGCTCCAGCATTACCAGCGGCTCATAACATCAGACAGAGTGTTAAGGCTCACCGTAGACTGGTAAATACTTCTTGTTTTGAGAATGAAGAGCATTGTTGTCTATCACTGTGTACTGGGGTGTTTTCTACATCCTTTGGCTCAATACACTGTTTCAACATCTGAGTTTTGGGTGGAAGGAGATTATTTGATAGGTGGACTTTTTAATATTCATCAGCTGAATGACTCTCTTCTTCATCAAAGACCAGAAGCCATTGACTGCTCCAGGTTAGTTAAACTCTGTTGGGTACTTTCTTGTGATAAAACTAATAAAAACAGAAAAAGTTTACTTGACGCTGGTTAAACTGGTAATAGAAATCTTAAACCAGTGAAATGAATTGCTGTGTTATTAATATTTATTTTTTAAAGTCAGCACTGCTGACATGGTCATTTAGCTAGAAATCCTATTTTAGATGATCATAATTATTTAGGGATGTCCAAAATTGCACATATTTACTACAAGCATTGAAACGGAATGTATTACTGTCCTTCATCTGCCCACAGTGCACCTTTTATTCTGTCCAGTTATCGAAGGTTTCAAATGATGAGATTCTCTGTAGAAGAAATCAACAATTCTACCAAGCTACTGCCAAATGTGTCACTTGGCTATGAAATCTTTGACCACTGCACAGATTTTGTGAGTTTCCCAGGACCTTTAAACCTAATCTCTGATAATGGCTTTATGCACCCTCTGGAAGAACCACACAATTTATCCAAAGTGATAGCAGTGGTCGGGACCTATACAAGCCCTCAGGCACGAGCTGTAGCCCCTCTGTTCATGATGAATCTCATTCCAATAGTAAACCTATGAGCCCTTATGTACTTTGACATTTTTTAAACCAGATCAATATATTTTTATTAAAAAATAGTCTTTACAAAAGTTAAATCAAGAAATGATGTTTTCCATGTTTAAAATAATACAAGTTTCAGGAGTATAAATGATTGGTTATTGTTAATGATCACAGTGACATTTTCTCTGTTGCTCTTAACAGGTCAGTTATGGAGCTTCCAGTTCAATCTTTTCAAGAAAACAGACCTTTCCCTCTTTCTTAAGAACAGTGCATCCCAATGAAGAGGTCATAAAAGGCATTGTTAGTATTGTCAAGCAATTCAACTGGAAATGGGTTGCTTTTCTTTATGTTAATAATGATTATGGAACAGATGGCCTGGACTTGTTTTTAAAAGCAATTAATGAGACTGACATCTGCCTTGCATATAGCAAAGGCCTTGATCAAGATACAGATTACAGTCTAATGTTTAGACAGATTGATGCAAAAAACATTAATATCATTATTGTTTTTGCACCTGAATGGACTGTTGAAGAACTCATGGAGTCAGTAAAAAGAGAAAATGTTACAAACAAGGTGTGGATAGCAACTGATACATGGTCCCTAAACAAAAAAATAATAGACCAGATACAAGGAAGCAAAAATATTGGCACTGTACTTGGGGTTGCTCAGCCTAAAATGTCAATACCTGGTTTTAGTGAGTTCATTCATTCTTTCAAGGCCAAGAATCACTGTGAAAATGCAGAGCAACAGAAGTTTTGTAATCAGGTTTGCAACTGCAGTAGCCTGACTGCTGAGGAAATCATTGATGCAGATCCATCGTGCTCTTTTCCTGTTTATTCTGCCGTGTATTCCATTGCTCATGCCTTACACAATATGTTACAATGTGGAGCTGATGGATGTAAAGACAATATTACAGTCTACCCCCATATGGTAAGCTTTCTAATTATTTGATCATTTCTCACTTTACTTTTTGAAAATGATCTAAGAGTGAATAATTGTTCTTATCCGTAGTAAAACCAGTGATAGTGTATATGAAGTATGTGATAAGCTAACTGGAATCTCAGAGTTAGTTAAACCTGTCGTTAAATAATAATAAAAACGACAGAATTATTAGGTTAAGCAAATTGTGTTTGTCCAAACCTCAGTCATTGTGAACTCAGTGTTACTGTTGTGTTCCAACATCAGGTTCTTACAGAGTTGAGGAAGACAAATTTTACCCTTTTAAACCAAACCATTCAGTTTGATGAGAATGGTGACCCCATGTTTGGATCCCACTCAGTCGTTTTTTGGGGCCCCAGTGGCGATGTGCAGGAAGTGGGCTATTATACTTGTCATCCATCATTCCATTTCTTCATCAACAACACCAAAATTCAGTGGCATACAAGTGCACAAGTACGTAGTAGTAATAAGAAGTTATTTTATTTGTTTTTTCAACACAAAGATTAATAATAAAATTAAGTTTTAGCAATTTAGTTTTTTAGACTTCTACCTAGATACATATAAGCACACAGCAGCTACCAGTTGTAGGTGTTCATAAGGTGATTTGCATGGCTGTCTAGATATAACTTTTACATGTTACAAAACAATTTTAGAAATTCAAAAAACCTGTGTGAATATATTTAATGACTGGTACTTTCCCCGTAATTTACCGTTACAGTAAATGGTAGGGAAGTGCAGTATCTTCTTTCTGACCTTTTTACACCCAATATTCTTGTGTAGGTACCAACTTCCGTGTGTTCTGAAGAATGTAAAATAGGCTACAAGAAAACACAACTTGGAATCCACAAGTGTTGCTTCAGTTGCACAATTTGTCCACGTGGGACTTATATCAACAGCACAGGTAAACTGTTTTTGAATGACAGTAGAAAAAGAGTGAAAGTAGTGCTATCACTTGTAATGGAAGCTAAAGTTATGCTTTTTAAAGACTATTATTGTTTTCATATAGACTAAGCCATAGTCTTCCATTTTTGTTCCAGCCACTGCTCATATAAAAGCAGCCAATTATTAGTCGTGATAGATTTACACTAAGGTGCAAACTGTAAAGTACAGGGCAGGTTTAACATGAAGGAAAATCTTTAGAGAGTATAGTGTAACACAGGTCAAATGTTTGTAGTTTAAAACAGACATAAACACCTTTTGAAGCTTTCATTTTTAAATTCTTGTTATTTTTAAAGCAATTTTACATGGTTCACAATCTTTGCTTGAATGTTGGTACGGCTCAGTTCATCAACAATATGATGTTATCTCTTCCTCTAAGCCTGCTTTCTGATTGGCTGTACCACATATAATTTCCATAAATAAAATTTTGTGCCAATGGACACCTTGTCTACCGCTTGCCACCACGGAGGTCATGAGAACTGTAACATGACAATGGATGGGACAAACATCAGAAGAAACAAACATTTGTTAAACAATACGTTAAATATTTGCTTATTTAAGGGCACAATAGTAGATCTGGTTTTTCAATCATAAGCTGTGCTTACAAGTTGATCAGTCTGAACTTTACAAAATCTTGTGCTTGCGACCACTGATAACTGACTACTGACGACTAATGACTAACTAAACGACTAATAATTGTGTGTCTAAATACAAACACAAACATACATGTATGAACTCTCAAACAATGGAGAAAGGTATCATGGGTCTACTTTAAAGATGACCATATGCTTCTTTTCTGCCCATCTGTCTTGTGAAACAGACAATCCCTCCAAGTGCATCACCTGTAAAGACACAGAATGGTCTGAAGAAGGAAGTACATCATGCAGTCTGCGGGTGGTGGAGTATACACCATTTACAGACATTTGGGCTATAGGGATCATGGTTGGTGCCTTTATCTTGGTGTTCATCTCACTGGCCTTGTCTGTTCTCTTTGCCCTTAACTACGACACACCTGTTGTCAAATCTGCTGGAGGACCAATGTGCTTTCTGATTCTAGGTTGTCTCAGTCTGTCTAGTCTTAGTGTATTTTTTTATTTTGGCAAACCAACAGATACTTTTTGTATCTTAAGATATTTACCATTTTTTTTATTCTTCACCATTTGCTTAGCATGCTTTGTTGTACGTGCATTTCTAATTGTGTGCATTTTCAAAACAGCTACCAAGTTCCCAGTGCTGTACAGCTGGTGGATGAAATATCACGGGCAGTGGATGTTCATTGCTGTGGTGTTTGTGACACAGGCAATCTTTCTTCTTATTAACTTTACATATATCCCCCCAAGACCTAACATTGACATGTCTTGGAACTCAAAAAAAATTATACTTTACTGTGAGACTGATTTTAAAGCAGCATCTGCTTCTCTGGTTTTACCTTTATCATTGTGTGCTCTTTGCTTTGTTTTCTCTTATATGGGAAAAGACCTCCCAAAAAATTATAATGAAGCCAAAGCAATAACCTTTTGTCTCCTCCTGCTGATGCTCACCTGGATCATCTTTGCCACTGGGAGAATCCTTTATCATGGGAAGCACATTCAGCCTCTGCAGAGCCTGGCAGTGCTCTCCAGTCTCTACTGCTTTTTGCTGTGGTATTTCTTTCCCAAATGTTACATTGTAATTTTTCAATCTCACAAAAACACACAGCAGTACTTCCAAGGTCTCATTCAGAGTTATACCAAATCAATTAACCAGGAGATGTCTCGAGTAAATATTCGTTGATATAGACAGAGGATTTCAGTCTCTGTATTCTGGTAATAATAGGTCCTCTTTAAAAGAGGATAGGGTGGTGATTGTTTCAAAGAATAACTTCACATCACATACACAATGATCTAAATGTTGGTCTTTAAAATATATATTTAAAAGTTTTGTGTAACAAATATTATTTTGTTTATATTAAATATCATTAAAAACATGAAAAGAATTAAGTTAATCGATCTTTAATAGATAAGTGGTAAAGAAATACCTGAACATATAATAGGAATAGGAACTGACTTATTTTGATGTTGGAGGATAATGAGATTACATTAAAAATATTTTATAAATTTATCATGTACAGGTTTCCTATGTCTAAATGTTTGGTTCATCAGTGGACACTACTGTTCTTTATTTTTGTTCTTGTTTTTCCTTTTTTAATGCATTTGTTACACTTCAATATTTCAGTAATTTTACTGTATAAACATGAGCAGGTAGAAACGGAGGCTGCAAGCCTGACTGCTCATCACTGCCTTTTGTTATCTGTTAAAGATCAGGCTCTGGCTCCTGGGCTGGGCCTGCCACGCAATCAGCTTTAACATCTTTCTGGATTCTTGGCTAGCTTTGTGGTAGAATACTGTTTAAATCTTGCAAAGAGCTGAAGTTGAGTTATCAGTTTCACACAGTTGTTTCTTTCTTGGATGAAGTTTGCAACTTATAATTGTACTCTTGTCCTTTTGTGAAATAAAAATAAAAGTATTGTCCTCATCACTGTTCTACAATTTTCCTCCTCCTGCACATGAACTGAAAACAACTGACTGTAGCTTAAGTGCACAGGTTGAAAAAATGTTATTTGATTTTTCTTTCTGTCAGCTTGGAGTGCCGATATTTAGGATCCTTTGTAATTCTAGTGTCTGCATAACTCCTGATTGTAACTGTAATGTAATTACTGAATTTAATACAGTAATACAACACATTACATTTCTATATTATTGAAAAATGTGATTACGGTAACACATTACATTCATCACTGCAGAGAAGGAGGACTGGACCAGGACAAAAAAAAAAAAGTCTCCGCCCTGCAGGTGGTCTACCCTTCAGGCTCAGGTCCTATATCAGAGGATTGGGAGCACAGTATCTTCCTAGTCCTGCGCTCTTCGGCACAGAGTTCTCGAATGTTGTTGCCTGGGTCTGCTGGAGCCACCCACCCAGTTTGTTCACTTTGTATAGCTACATCTTTCACTACAGCCATCTTCCTATATTAATTGATCATAACTGTTGAGGGATGCCCAAAATTTCAATTATTTACTGTGTTTAATAAGTATTAAAACTGAATTTATCACTCTTCTTCATCTCTCTGCAGAAGAAATCAACAATACTACCAAACTACTGCCAAATGTGTCTCTTGGCTATGAAATATTTGACCATTGCACAGATACTATCAATTTCCCAGGGGCTTTTAACCTATTTTTTAATAGTTGGTTTAATCCGACCTCTGGAAGAACCACACAAGAATTTGTCCAAAGTGATAGCAGTGGTTGGGACTTATACAATATAGATTTATGTTACTGTGACTGATTATGTTGACATTTCTCTTTTACTTCTTTAACAGGTCAGTTATGAAGCTACCAGTTCAATTTTTTCAAGAAAACAGATTTTTCCATCTTTCTTGAGAGCAATGCATCCCAATAAAGACATAGCAGACCTGATTTTTAGCATTTTGAGGGAGTTCAACTGGAAATGGGTTGCCTTCCTTTATGCTGATGATGATTATGAGAGAAATGGTCTAGAATTATTTATAAAGAAAATTAAAGACACTGATATCTGCCTGGCTTATAACAAAGGCCTTGATCACAAGTCCCATTACAAAGTTGTATTAAAACAGATCAATTCACAAAACATAAATGTCATTATTGTTTTTGCACCAGAATGGACAGATGAAAAACTCCCCAAAAGCTGATTCTGTTCATCTGGACATAGCGTTTTCAGTGGGAGAAACATTTTATCACTCATCCAAGTGACGTCTTCAGTCTCAGGTGACTGCAGGTTTCCCCAACCTTATAAACAGTACATTTGCATAATGACTGAAACCAGCACCACTGAAGGAACAATGAGCTGGGAGGTCAGTGAGACTGAAGTCACTTTGATGAGTGATGTGGTTAGACTGGCTTTGTCCTGGGTGAGGAACCAGACAAAGGTTCAGAAGACCCCTATGAATACAATATCAAGGGAACAGTTCACCCTGCCCAGGATAGTGTTACCAGGGCTCTGCCCTGGAGCCAGGCCCAGGGAGGGTGGCCGAGGGCGAGTGTCTGGTGCCCGGGCCTTAGTCCTTGGGACCCGGCCGGGCACAGCCTGAAAAAGGGACATGGGCCCATCCTCCTGCAGGAGGCGCCACAGGGGTCAGGTGCAATGTGTACCGGGCGGCGGCATTCTCTACTTTGTACATTTGTCAATGAATGACCGCACATCATTGTGAGAGCGAGAGAAAAATGAACTAAGCAATACAACAAAACTCATCAATAAACCAGGGCAGATAATGGTTTGAGCATGAGCTTTCTTTCATTAGTGGCAGTTTGCAGATTGATAAAGAAGTGAAACCATATTCTCAAAATCCAAACAATGAATTAGTTTAATGCAAACAATGTTAAGGCTTTACTGAATCTTTTAGCAAATTTTTATTAACCTTAAAAAACATAAAATAAATGAAAACATAAAACAAAACATTAAAAGATAGATAGGCGCGACCCTTTGGAAACATCCCATCAAATCAATAAAAATCTAAAACTGGTCCATTAGATTAGTTGGTTTTTATTTTGTTTGTTTTATGTCATAACATGAAAAGTCAAAAATTTATTGTAAATGAAGGATTATAACAGAATTGACAGAACATCTAAATCTAAACTTATCACTACTGTATCTTAAACACGAAAAACTTTTTTTAAAGTTAACAAAAAGAGATGGTGAGATATTCTGAGCGTACTATTAGTACATTTCGAATAACTTATCATTACTACTCTATATCTTAAACTTAGCAGTAACTATGTAGGTAGGAAGAAAAAGAAATGTGTAAAGAAATGTGTGGCTGATGGATTTGCCACTTAAAGACTCTCTAATGGAGACTGCCCTTGAGTGAGTGAGAAATACTCCATCTGTGGTGTAAATGAAGACCTGTTCCACCACCCCGACACCATACCCAGTACATACAATATTAACATTAACAATTTTTGGTAGAAAACAATAAGGGAAGCGCACGGTGGGGCGGGACCCATCGGTGTCAGTCTGGACTCTGTAGTACCCACTCCGGAATCTTTGGCGTTCCTGCTGCAGTAACGAAAAGGAACAAACAGGTTAAAGATGCTCCAGTCATTAAAGATCAGAGGACAAACATTTAAAGCTGAAGTGAATACAGTGAATACATGACAGTATTTTTTTTTCTTGAAATATCCACCACTGATGCTTACAGCATTGTGATTACTCACCTCTTCCTGGTCAGCCTCCTCTCTTCCAGGGTTGTAAAAAGAGGTAGAAGACTGGTTGGACCACATGATCTTCATTTATCTGAAAATGCCAGTTTTAGAAACAAGTGTTCTTTTTCATCACTCACATCTTGTATTTGTAGAATTTAGAAAATGTTAAAACATGTACTTCTCTGTGAGCATACAATATACATTCTATTCACCTCCTGATGAGCACCCACCTGTTGTCCATGCTGGAAGCCAGAGCTGGAGGGCTGAGGGCTGGATCTCCTCACTCGTCGACCAGGGGGTAGCTGTGAGATATCACTTGATGTTAAGCACCGAAAATGCTAACTATTATTCTTACGTTAGCAGTTTCTTTTATTTTTTTTCAAAAATACTACAGATAACTTCAACAGAAGTCAGTTCTGTATGCACACTGGGAGTGGTAATTGGTTTGTGAATACTGAAATAGTTAGCAAACTGCAACAAAATGTACCTTTATGTAACCAACATGAGTTCAAATATAGTGTGCTGCTACATGCTGCTAGTGCCAGAAGGTGGCAGTAATGTGCATAGAAGGGGTCAGAAATAGAGACTGTATAAGCCACTAATGACTGCGGGTATGGTGTGTGTGCAGCACAGTGAGATCAGACAACAAACATTTAAAGCTGAAGTGAATACAGTGAATACATAACAGTATTTTTTTTTCTTGAAATATTCACCACTGATGCTTACAGGATTGTGATTACTCACCTCTTCCTGGTCAGCCTCCTCTCTCCCATGCTTGAAGGCAGAGGTGGAGGGCTGAGGGCTGGGTCTCCTTGCTCTCCAGTCACGGTTCAAGTGTAAACCAGAGGTGGAGGGCTGGGGGCTTGACCTCCTCACTGGCTGGGCAGTGTTTACCTGTTAGAGATGGAGTAATGTGTGTCAAAACTCTTGGCTTGTCTACAATGCCAGTTTGTATTTTTTCACCACTCAGTTCTTGTTTTTGTAAGATTTAGAAGATGTCAAAACATTTACATTGTCTATGAGCTTATGAATATGCTTTCTACTCACCTCTTGATTGGCATACTTCGGTCGTCTATGCTGGAAGCCAGAGGTGGAGGGCTGAGGGCTGGAGCTTCTCGCCAGCAGAGCACCAAATGTGGTCCAATATGTTTTTTCGGGAGGGTGTTGGAGGGATTCAGGGCTGCTGTCCTCTAGCCACTTTGTCTTCATCT